CCCCAAAACCCCAAAACCCCAAAACCCCAAAACCCCATGATGTTATGTTGTAAATTTCATTTGACAATAAAGATTATATAGCTGTTCAACTAAAATAAATAGTATAATCATTATTAATTATTCATTACTTGATGAATAAGCACAACTCACAGCAAGCTTTGACACCAACCTCAAACAGATTATTTGGAAATATTGTTGGTGGGTCATAGCTGGTTTATGGAAATAGCAATAGTTTTAACTCGAACTCAATGAAACCTAATAAGATAGGAATGATACATGAACCTTTCAAGATTGGCTCGAAAAGAAAGCTGGGCTAATGATCAGACTCTCAAAACTAAGAAATATAGAATCTTAATAAAAATGCACAACCAAATAAGCGCCTCAAGTAATCTGGAGATAACGAATTCTAGCAGGAGACTGAAGAGTTTATGATAGATGAAGATGAAGTGAAGGCTGCGCTGCAGCAAAATCATACTGAAAATATGTCATAAGGATCATTAATAGAGGAGGAAACGTCCAAGCAAATTAGCAGTGGATCAATAAAAACACTTTCATCTTAGACAGATGTAGGTAAAGGGTAACCACTAGGCTTCATTAATATTAAATCTAACTCAGATAACTCTAATAGGAATATTGAGAATGAATCATAGCTCTGCATAAATCTAGAGTATGATAGTATCCATGAATCTAATTTGCCTGGAAAGAACTAGTTATCTTAGTAAAATAAGACATCTGCTAATACAAAGACTTGCTCTTAGGGCTATAACTAAAACTCAAACTTAAGTGCTGCAAGTAATACATTAAAAAATACGAATAACAAAAACTCAAATATGGCTACTAATTCATAATCAGAAAAATTACAGGTAAAAAAGCTATATCTTGCAGGAAGCAAGGATAGGACATAGAATTAGTCTTAAAATAGTCAAAGTAAATAAAGGAGATTATCTAAATCTCAATAATAATCATAAAAATCAGTAAAATCTAATAGAGATGATGGAATAGTTTAAGATAAAATTATCTTAAATCCAAGTAATCAAGAGATATTCAAAAAATAAATAGCTGAGCTTAGATAGAAGTATGAAAATATAATAATGAATGAGTTTTCAGATGAAGATCTTTGGAAATGTGATGTGTGTCTAGGAAAAGAAAGCGAGGATGATGATCCATTGTACTAAGTAATAGATAACTAAACTTATATTATTATAGTGCGATCTATGTATGGTTGTTGTTCATCCGACCTGCTACAGAAGAGACCTGTATGAAGAAGTCTACGATAATTCTGACTAAGAAGATCAACCTTGGTTTTGTGCAAGATGCAAGTATATACTCAAAGAGAGTCCTCCTGGGAATGATCTATCTAAACTTCCAAATTGCTTTCTTTGCCCAGACTAATAAGGGTCATTGATTGATCTAGACACAAAAGAATGGGTTCATCATAATTGTGTAAATTGGCATCACGAAATCTGGTTTGGTGAAAAAGATCCAAAGTAAAACTTATATTACTTCTAATCAAAATTTTAATTTTAGATTGAGAAAATACGGAGGAGAGTTAAACTTTGAAAGGTTTGAGTTGAATTGCTATATTTGTAGAATTAAATAAGGATCCTGTATATAATGTGATTTGAGTACTTGTAACAAATCTTTCCATGTTAGATGTGCCATCAAAGAAAGTTTGATTGTTTCAGAGAAAGAAATGGAGGATTTAAGACTAGGCAATTGGGATGTAAAAATATTTTGCTCTAAACATACGAATGTTGGCAAAAAGAAAGTTCAGAGAATTCAACTACAAAAGTTCCTAACAACAAATGGAAACTAAGAGGCTGCTAGATCAATAATAATTGATGACTAAGATGAGGAAAATGAAAGGATGACCAGACGATAAGCTATTATATAGTAACAACAATAAGCTCTTCCATCTAGAAAAAGACTCTCTGTGATAAATGAAATAGACATTGACAGGGTGATGAAAGGTGACTTTGAAAATTCTGCAAATTCTAATACTCTCAACTTTGATAAGCCAAAGACTAATGTTATCAATAATTAGCCAATATAATAATTCCCTCGAGCTAACCAAATTAATTCTAATTCAGGTTTATTGGGTATAACTTGTGATTTCGATGATAAAAGTATTCCAACAAAAGCTAAGAAGAGTAAAAGTAGATTTATACCAGATTTCTCTAAATGTGATATAATAAAGCCATTAGGGGCAGAATAGATTCCCAAAAGTAATGATAATGAGCATCCAAAGATACCTGGACTACCTAAGCCACTAATTCCGCCATAAAATAGAGTTAGTGATTCTATTCTTAGCAGAAGCTCGTTCTAATCTATAAACTCTGATTTGGGTAAATCAACCAATAGAGGATTATCTACAGGATTCATTAAGCAAAGAAATTCAGTTGAGCCATCTCAATGCTTACAAGCTATTTTAGGAGCTGACCCTAGATTTACTTCATCAAGCAATAACTAGAGTGATCATATATCTTCAAGAACAACAGCGACATCTTAATTTAGGAATAATCAACTATAGCAATCTATTACAATTGAGTCCATCAACACAGAGAATCCTCATAAGTTTAAGATACCTAAGAAACTATAAGACATACTAAAACTTCCTGATAAAAAGGTAACTTATAGAGAATTGACTTTAGGTCTGTTCAAATTTCATAAGCAGGTTGGCAATTTCTACGACAAATAAACATAAACTTTCGATCTGGCCAGATATCAAGCATTTAGATAGTTCTGGCCTAATCACTAGAGAATAGGCTGTGAAAATATCAAGTAGTTCTTAATATCAACTATGAATTGAAACTTTAAAAGGAGAAATCTGTTAAATAGACAACATAATAATAAACAGCTACTCGATTCTGAAATGATAAGTTATTACTGTACTCAAGCTTGATTTCTTAACATTTGTATTATCAATAAATCTATTATTTTTATCTTATGGGGTTTTGGGGTTTTGGGGAGATCGGAAGAG